CCCGCGCGGGCAGGGCCGTGCACCTGCACACGACTGGAGTGTAAAGGGAGCAGGAAGCTCACTGGTGTGCCCACAGGGGGAAGGGGGCTGCCCCGAACGCTGTACCAAGGGGGCCGTGCGAGGGCCAAACAGCAGCTGACGCTCTGCTGAGTCGGGGTCTGACGCGCGTGTGATGTCTGCATGTGGAGTTCTGCCTAGGGGCGCTGGGCTGGCGCGGGGTGCGCGCTCTGGCTGGGAGGGAGCCATGGGCCTGGGCTGCCTGTAGTGAGGAGGGATGGTCAGTGACTGGCTGGGCAAACTAGCCCTGCTGCATGGACACTGGCTCTGGGAGGGGCCAACACACACCTGAGGGCTGCATCTGAGCGCCTGCAGGCCGGCCAGGGCACGAGGGCTGCCGGCGTGTGGAACACAGACTGGTCACTCGCCCGTGTGACCCGCTCCAGCCTGGCGTCTCCATCTGGCCTTCAGTCCTGCTCCTGAGCCCCGAGGCAGCCTTGCGAGGGGCAGAGCCGGGGAGGGCTGCCAACCCGTCCTGACGTCGGGTGTAACCAGAGCCTGCTACGCTGGCAGTTTAACATCTCTGCTAGAGCCTGCAGCAGGAACGTGGGACTGGCGCGTGTGACGCGTTCTCCGCAACAGCCTCACTTGCCCCCGTTCCTTTCTCTTGTTAATGAGCTTTCGATTTTAGGTTCTACAGGACGGGCCCAGCGGGCTCTTGTGGGTGAGATCTGAAGTGTACATTGACCGGGCATCGGTAGCTGGTTTCTTGGACTGGGAGGACCCGTTGGGGGGAGGTGCGCTGGGTTCTAGAACCCTCCCCTGTGGGCAGGCCCGGGGCTGATTGGGGCGCAGGGAGAGCTGGGGTGTCCGAGGGGTTTGCTCGTGAGGCTTCTGGCTGGCCGGATTGGCAGTTGGAGCGCTCGGTGTCACTGGTTTGTGGCCTATTTGTGAAAGGTCTCCAGTCAGGGCTGTGATGTAGTGGGGGTACCTTGCTGGTTGCTGTGCTGGGCGGTGGGCTGTGGGTGACCCCCACTGGCTGCTGTCTGCAGCACGGCCCAGCAGGGCAGGGGATGAGTCACTATGCAAGGGGGCTCCAAACCTGTCTGACCAGCTACCCCCCAGGGAGCGGAACAATGGGAAGAAGGGGAGTGGAGCCCTGGCTGGGGGCAGGGCTGGAAGTGAGGGAGTTAGGGAGGTTTCTGGCTGGGATCATGGAGGAAGCAGCCTAGGCAACGGGCTGGGATTTAGGGGCCCAGGCTCCCCCATCTCAAGAGGGGCTGAGGCATCCTAGGCCTGCCTTGTTACCAGATTCCATCTGTGCTGTGCTGTATCCTGGAGAAGCAATAAACTCCCTCTGTTCTACTGGCTGGGGGAGTCTGTCCATGCCACTACGGGGGTGCAGGAGACGGGAAAACCCCAACGTGCCATCACAAGGGGCTGTAAGGAACCCTGGTTTTGAGCAATTCGCCGTCAGCAGACACCCTCAGCGGTGCCCAGGCTTGGCATGATCTGTACGACGCCCCCAGAGAGCCAGGGCCCCACCCTGCTCCTGGGCCTGCCTCCTTCCTATGGCAGGGAGCAACAGCCTGCAGGATGCCCCCGTGGTTGCTAGGGCATTTGGCTTCCCCCATGCTGCACGGGGAGTCCCTGGAGTCCTGGACATGTGACACTGCTCCGTAGAAGAGGGGTGCAGAACAGGTGATGTGTGCCATCCCAGAGCGGGCTGCATTGCAGGAGGGGGGCAGGGCCACTCATCTGTACAGCGTGTTGGGACCAGCCCGCCCCAGGGACAGCACGGCCAGTGGAGGGCGTTATGTTTATTTGAGAAGGGCAATTACTCATCCCTGCCCCACGTTCCCAGCAGGCCCCTCCCCCCCCTTTCCTTGCTTGGCAGCCTTCGGGGGCTCTCAGCATCCCGGGCCGGCGGCCTGGGGCCGGGTGGTGACAGTCGAGTATCACGGGAAACCCGAACCTCGCTCTGAAGCGGCTTGCACGGTGCCTTGTGGTGAAGGGCCGGGGGTGCCGGCCAGGGGCGTCTGCCCCCCCCGTGCACACGCGGCTCAGCAGGCTCCGGCAGGACAGTGCATTGCAGAGCGCTGGCGGGGGGTACCAGGCTCCTAGGCTCAGAGCAGGGTAGGAGCCGCGCTGGCACCAATCCGGCGGAGGAGGGGAGCGTGGTCATGCAGTGTCTCCAGCATCCTGCGGGCCCTGCTCGGTGGCCAGTTCACACCAAGGGTGGCGACGCTGGATGGGAGCAGGGTAGGAAGGGGCAGAGCTGGCAAGCCCTGGACAGTCCCTTCCTGCAAGCCTCGGCCAGCGGCCTCCTGGACTCTGCCCCGAGCTGGCAAGGCTGGAGGGAGCAGTGGGAGGGAGGGTGGTTCTGCTTCCTGAGTCGCTCTGTGCTCACGTGGGGCGCCGGGCCGCGCCGGGGCTGCTGGTCAGCAGACGTGGGCCTGGGCGCGCCGGTTTGGCACCATGTGCTGTGCACCCTTCGTTTTAGACGGGAAATGAATTTTGTCCTCCCTGGGTGGCCGGCGGCGGGCACAGCCGGGGCGGGCCGGGGGGCGGTCCAC